TAATATCCATTCAAGGAGGTACCTACCACCACCTAATCGGTCGTGAGGCAATTGCCTCATGAAACACCCTATCACGCCGCCACTGCTCCTTAAAAGTTGTGAAAAATCTAAGTACTCAAAAATATCGTCTTTAACTACACTTAAAAATTCCAAAAATCAGAATTTGAATATATGCATAATTTAAGCATAAAAATGGGGCGAGCATGCTTAAAAAATCACCCTGTATATTATAGTTGATTCGAACGTTCAATAAGTGACGTTTTGTGTTTGCGACAACTGTTACGTAGCGATACGTATCGGTAAGAGTGCATACTGTATAGTATTGCCGTCAATCGTTATCAACCGTTCGTTAGTTTTGAACTGATAATAGCCTTCGAACCACGGACAACAAGATTCATTATTTAAATGCTTTACTGTTTTGAAATCGCGCTAAGAACAAAAACCAAAACGGMGTCACGTGTTTAGYGTTTACTAGTAAGTATGTACATCCCCTCATAATTGTAATATAGAAATAGACATTTCGTTGAACTTTTTTGTTTATTTCATAAATATAAGAATAGGCTTTCGCCGTAAATATGTCTGCGATAAGATGCAAATTTTATTTGCAAGGGAATTGTTTTTACGGYTCATCTTGTCGGTTCTCGCATGATCAACCACACCGCTCAAACAATCAATATGACTATGAAAATCAATCAAGGAGTAATAGTGAGTTTATATCTATAATAATAGCTAAATCGTTTTTCGATTAAATTGTAAAAAATTCTTAAAAAGTTTCACGTGCCTTATAAATTGATTAAAAATTGAAAACCGTATAATATACTCATGTTACTTAATCATATTTTATAGTATTTTCTTACATTATTCTTGATGTTATGTAAATATTTAAATTTTTAGGGAATGCAAGCAAAAGTTATTATGATAGCGGTAGAGATTATAATGATTATTACGAGTATGAATCAAAAAGTAAAAACACTAACTACAATTATAGAAATGATTATAACAGCAAGAATAATTATCATAATCAGAGAAATGATTATAAAGAAGATTACAATTCAAGTAATCATTATGGAAACCAAGCTCAAAGACAGCWYAACGTAAAGAATTACTATAAAGATGACAACAGGCAGGATAAAAAATCTAATCAGGAATATGGTTATGATACAAACAAAGTGCATTTCAGTTCAAATAGGTACTTGAATTTTAAATATTTAAATCTAAATTCACCATGTACATCACAAATTCATTGTCTTTATTGAAACTGATGTATCTTAATTTTATTATGACTATAATTATAACATTTTTATTACTAAATCTGTTTAGGTATAAGAATTCAGATGATCAAAAACATATTCATGGGTCCTATGTCCATAAAAGTAATGACAGAGTTGATGAAAAAAAAAATATATTGAAACAGTATGAAAATGAAATGTAAGTTGTACCTACTTAATTTCAAACAAAGAATAAATGTTTAACAAATAATTAATAAATAACAATTAAATCCTAATCCTTATAATCTACTTATATAAAATAATACGCCTTTTTTACGTACAATCTGAAAACGCAATTGAACTTGTTCATGTTTATTTTTGTCAAGCTTATTCAAACACTCAGTTTCATTGTCTCACTACAGCATTTTTTTTTTTTTTTGCTTTTTTGAGCTTTAACGAGAGAAGATACAAATTATAATTAGATTTCACCAGTTTTTCAACAAAACTTTAATTATTATAATTTTTTATAATCAGCATTGCCCTTTTTCCATTTTTAGAC